TTATAAGGTAACAGATTCATATATAATTTTAAGGAACGTAATTTTAAATGGCAAAATACAAAATTTGAGCGAAATCAGTTAAATAGGTTTCGAGAAATCAAATTTTAAATACGCGACTATTCGATTTAGAAACTCACTATAAAAATATTCTGCAATAAANAAAAAAGAAAAAAAAAAAAAAAAAAAAATGCTGAAAATAAAAATTAATAATTTTCTAGGTAATGATTAAAAATAACTTAAAAAAAGCTCATTTTTTTTAAAATAATTTATCGCACTTAAATTTTTACTTTTTTAGCTACATATTTCTAAATAAAAAACGCATTTTCTGCCTTTAATTATTACGATTTCCTAAATAAGATCAGGGATCTGTCCAGACATTTTGTGAAAAGTCCTGTTTTTGTAAAATTGTGAAAAAATTACTCGTAATTTGTGAATATAAAATGAGCGTTAAGTCCCCCATTCTTTCAACCAGACTGCGTTTGTGAAATTGTGCAAATAGGGTCCTGTTATTGCAAAAAAACCTTTTCAAGGAGTTTTTAAATTGTAAATAGATACAAGATTATGCTCAACTCTGTAAAATCATAATAATAAAAAAATTTTCTTTCAAAAATTAACAGCAATTGCTGCTGCTAAATTAGAGATACAACATGCAAATATTTGGTATTTAGCCTATACTTCTGAACGCAGAATATTCATTTCGAACGAATAATAGAAACAAAATCACTCACATTTTTAATAATTTCAACTGACATACTTACACAACTTAGTTATGTATCACTTTTAATGTGTTACGCATTAAGTAAACTTATTCTTAAATTTATAATATATTTTATTTAAAAAATTGCCAGTGATTATTTTTTATTTACATAATATTCTATTAATTAATTTGATGGATAAATATAAATTGATATAAATTGATCAATTATTTATTTACAATATATATATATATATATGATTTTATATTAATAAGAATGCCCACACGACATTTGTAAAAGTAGAAATATTTTCTTAGAATACTAGAATTCTATCAGTATTCGACAGAATTCGATGAGCAATAACACTAATTGATTTATGCCGTTTATTTACTTTTTATTTATTAATTTTTAACTCATTTTCTTTATTTATTTTTTTGTCCGGGAGATTGTATTTGCTTTACCGGATTTTTGAGTGCTATTTTATGCGCAAATTAACTGTATAATGTGGATCCCCCATTGACCTTGGCGAATTTATATATCACGTTCGGTTAATATCGACTATGTCAACTTTCATCTATAGATAGAATCAAGTTTTAACATGTCTTATATATTAGTGAATTGGTATTTATTATTTATAGTGATAGTTACGCTACAATAGCACCTTGAATTTTGCTAACGTTATATATATATATATGTATATTATTAAACTACTGTATTGTATTAGATAGTTTATTTGGAAAGGTAGTACCTGTGATTAAAACTCGCGACTGTGGAGAATATTGAATAAATTTGGTTCTTGATTATAGAAATCACTTTATAAGGATGATCAATTTAACAGGTATCTAAGAATTACCTGTTTATTATAAATAAAAAAGAATTATATAATCTGTTTAACAGTTTTTTAAAATAGTTATGAACAATTTTGGAACTTTCTTTATCTCCTTCATCTTAAAATGTCGTTTGTAAATGGCGAAACGATCCTTGAACCACGTTCACCTTTCTTTCGAAAATAATCCTTCTTAGGTTCTGCTTCGCTCATTGTATTCGAAATTCTTCCTCTTGCTTAATGCTTACGTCATTTTTTTGACCATTATCATGAATTCAAGGTAGTGTTTTATTTTGTTCAAATACAGGCGTGAGTAATTTTAATCGTCGTAATTTTGTGAAATAAATTTATTTTGGAATTGGAGCGGAACTTATTTCGATTTATTATGTTGAATATTTTCCCAGGAATGTGGAAATATCCATGTTAGCCGATTTATTTATCTTTTGTCAAATTATGTATTATTATATCCAAGAACAATTTGCTTGTTGACTGTTAGGTTTTATTTTATTATTATATTTTTATAATAAAATTTTGAATTATTTCTTTTTTATTCCTTTAATGCTGCTTGAACTTATTCAAGTAAAACATCACTAAATTGTTATTTTTAATAATTTTTTTTGTAATTTTATATGTTTCAATATTTTTTTAAAAATTTTATAAAATTTGAAATTATGTTTTTTTTTTCTGTTAAGCTTGACATTTTTTTTCTACTTTTTGTTTGTTGTCACTGCTTCGTATTTCTCATTACTTTTTAAATTATTCTCATTACTTTTTAATTTATTATTTTTTGAATATTCAAAGAAATTTTAGTTAATTGACAAATTATAATAGCGGGCATTCAAAAGTTTCTTTTTTGAAAACTAGAGATAATAAATGTTAGAAACAATTATTTTATGTTTTAAAAAATCAAGTTTCTAATTTTTTTTCCCCATTTAATTTTTTTTTTAATTGAAAGCTATTACATCATATGAATTAACAACCATAACCTTTTAGCAAATAATAGGCTATTTTTATAACTGTAATAGCTGGTAAAGTGTAATAACTGTTATGATTTACTGTTAACTGTTAAATTAAACGAAGTTATGTACACTACATGACTAGCGGCCATTACCGTTTTAGAAGGCCGCTCTCAAAGGTGGGAGTTCTCAAATTGTTCTGGGGACTGAGTGTTTATTAACAAGTTTTTTTAAAAAGAAAATTACAGAGAATTTTTTTATATCTATAAACCTTTATTCAGGCTTGCCCTTTTTGATTTCTGCCTACTGCCATCACTTGTCAATTAACAATGTCGAAAGTAAATTTCATTTAGCTGAAAAGCTAGAGTTGTAGCCCCCCCCCCCTCAGGAAAAGAAAACAGCATTAGTGTCAGGTCTTGGGCAAAATACTCTTTAAATTGTTAATAGTCACATAATTTTGAAGAAAACGATCATATAAGTCCATACTTATTTTATTTATTTTTGTTAATTTTTATTCAAGAAAATTGTATAAAACTATGTGTATGTACAATATATATATTTGTTTTTAATTTTTGGGTTAATTTTTAGCTTGTAATAATGATGAGTGTAAAATAAACCATCTCTAAATGCATTACAAATAGTCTTGTACTGCCACCTTGTGTATGTATATAGATTATGAAATAATCATGATTCATACGGGTGTGAGAAATAGATTCTCTTACTTTTTTTCGCGCATTACTCATGAACACACCAGCTCGGAAATATCACGGGCGCAAGAAATAGGGGGGCGAAACTTCAACTTGTTTCAATAAAAATTTTGAAACTTTTATGTTAGTTTTTTAGCCTTTTGTTAAGTGCTCTTTTCATCCTCGAAGAATAATATTTACAAATTTAAAGGTAAACCAGCATTACGAAATGTATGTACAGTGCTCCAAAAAAAGAAAAAAAAATGGACCACCCTGATCTAATAATGAACTTTTGATCTAATGATCGGATCTTCACGTTCTAGGACACAATCTTAATGGTTCAAGAACGTAACCTCAAATATGCTAATTTATTTGTGCAGACGACATTTTAAGTTACGAAATCAGACAAATTAACGTACTTTCTCTGAAGAAACATATCTTTTTTTTCCAACGGATTTAGATTTCTGACTTCCAAAATATAGGTAGGGTGTAGCCGCAATCTGGGAAAATATGGTCCCAACAACTTGGTCAGGATAGCTCTCCCAAGTTTGAACCCCATAATGTTAATTTTACTTCTTGCGTATTTTGCTATATCTCAAGAACTTTTTAAAGTAATTGAAATTTTTTTACATACAATTATAAAATTCGTTTATCCAAAGATAATTAATTCCATGAAAGAAATAGCATTTAGTAAATATTTATTATTTTTTATTATTTTATTTAAGAATGGTCGAAAAATTTTGAATTGTAAGGCATTTAATTCTTTGCATCATTTTAAAAAATGTAATTTTATATAGCAAAATACGAAATTTGAACAAAATCGGTTGAATAGTTCCTTAGAAATCGAATTTTAAGTATCTGACTTTTTTGAAATTCGATTTCTCAGGAACTATTCGACCGATTTTGCTCAAATTTCGTATTTTGCTATAGAATATATTCTTTAAAGCAATATAAAAAAATGTATACCTTACAGTTCAAAATTTTTTTCGACCGTTCTTAAATAAAGTAATAAAAAAGAATAAATATTTACTAAATGTTTTTTTTAATAGAAATATTTCTTAATTTTATAATTGTGTGTAAAAAGTTTTCAATGCGCTTAAAAATTTCTCGAGATGTAGTGAAATACTCAAAAAGTAAAATTAACATTAAGGGATCCAAACTTTGGAACGCTCTCCTGACTAAACTATTGGTACCACATTTCCCAGATTATGGCTACCTCCCATATTTTGAGGTCAGATGTCCGAATCCGTCTTTAAAGGAAAAAAAAACTTTGTTTATTCAAAGAAAGTAAGTTTTTGTCTCTGGTTTCGTAACTTGAAATATCATCTGCTTTTATTAATTACCATATTTGAGGTCATCCCTTCCAGCCATTAAGATAGAGTTCTAGAACGTCAAAGTCCGACTATCAAATCAAAAGTTATTCACAGTGGTCCGTTTTTTATTTTGCTCACTGTATGCTAGTATGTTGTTAAGAAAACATCTCCTAATTTTGTAAATTGAGTACATATTGGTATTTTAATTCAACACCTATTAATTTGTATTATATAAATTCCAATTTCTTTCTCTAAAATAAGATACTTTTTCTGTCTTCTCTCCTTTAATAATAAAAATAAAGTAATGCCCAGGTTTAGGTTTTTTTTAAACCGTAAATTGTGGGGATCACTAGCACGAACAAAACGTAAAAAGTGGTACTAAATTTATCTACTACTTTCTATTTCCTTTAAAAAAAATTATGTAATTTTGAAGTCTTATTATTTTTACTTTTGAAGCAATTAACCAATTTAGAAGCTAATTGTGTTTTTATTGATTGATGTTAAATTCAAATGTCTTATTTTAGGAATCAAGTGCCCAGTATGTTCAAAATTTGTGCCACCAGACGATGTAGAGTGCCATTTAGTTATGTGTCTTACAAAGCCAAGAATAATATATAATGGTAATAACAAAGAAAGTTGTAACTCCATTTTTATATGTTTAGTTTTTTGTTGTCTTTCATGTTCGACTATGTTATTTAAATCCTGTATTTTTCTACTACATTACACGAATCTTGATTTTTTTAATCTTTATTATTGAATTAATGAGTTAAATAAAATAATAGGAATTGTTTCTATTACTGTTATGTAAATGCTACAAATACCAAAGATGTCTATTTCCTACTATAAATTTCTTAGATTAAAAAAAATATTAAAATTATAACAAAAAAATGTATTTTTAAAATTTTTACCAAATTTTGAATTACTTCAGTGCAAAGAATTTAAAATTTAAGGTTCAAGATTAAATATAAGGTTCAAGAAATGATTTTTTTTTAAAACCTGATTTATCTGATTTAAATCAGAGTTTTTATAAAGATACTTCTTAAACTTAGGTTTATGAATAATTTAATATTGTAACTGTTAATTATAATTGAAACATTATTGCAAATAAATCGTAACAATACATTTCCAGCAATATTACTGAATTAAAAATTGTTTTAATATGTGCATTAAAGCATGATTCAAATTAATTGCAAATGGAATAAGAGACATCATAATTAACTATTGAAAAGCAGGCTAAAAGATCAAAAAAGTTAATTTCGCATTTACTTTTTAATATTTGGAAATGACAAAATAAATAGCAAAGATTTTTATATTTTACCTTTGATATAAGTTGACAAATGTTTCTAGTTATAATAACTTAACTAGTTTTTTGAAGAAAAAAAAATTACACTTGAAAAAAAGGCAATCTCTAAGATACAGAAATATCTTAAAGATTGCCTATGATTAATCGGAAAGCAATCTTTAAGATTTTTATATTGCAATCTTAAAGATTGCAATATAAAAAATAAATTATTGTTTTGAAGATTGTTTTATGTTTAGTTAATTGTTTAAATGATATTTAGAGACTGTTGCTAATATTAATATAATGTAATGTTATTGATAAGTGCCAAGTATTGATGTAATTTTGTTAGTTTTAACTTAATTAACGCAACAATATCTTTGCAAAGAAATTAAATGATGAAAATCATTAAAGAAATTTAAAATATTTAATTTTATAATGTAAATTTTTAAATTAATGTTTTTTTCCCCTTCAAATAACGTTTGTTGTATAGCAATGTTTTTCTTCTTCTTTTTTTAAAAAAAGGATTTAAATCATAATTTTAAATCAATTAGATTAAATGTGTCAATTGTAATTTAGTGAAATTTTTTGGATTTGTTAAAGATCATGTCAGCCGCTTTCTCCTGTTTTAAATATTATTTCTATCATCTTACACAGATAGTAGCTATGGTTCACTATCTATTAAGTCTTTATTTTGCTCCGAAACTTTGGCAAAACATTCTTGATTTATAGCGATGATTTTTTTAAAAAGCAGAATTTAAATAATGATTTTAATTAAGAATTTAAATAATGATTTTAATTAAGATTTAAATCAATCAGATAAAATGTGTCAATTGTAATTTGGTGAATTTTTTTGGATGTGTTTGAGATCGTGTCAGCCACTTAAGTATTATTTCTATCATCTTACACAGATAGAAGCTCTGGTCCACTATTTATGTGATTAAAGATTTTATTTGCTCTGAAACTTTAACAAAACATTCTTGACTATATTCTTTTTAGCAATATGCTCCAAAGCAGAAACCTCACTTCACCAAAGCAGGTGCTGCAGATTATCACATCTGTAAATAATTTTTCTTATCAGTTAAAAAAATGCCTAGAAGAGAAAGGGAGAAAGCATTCAATCAATATGAACTTCTTTACTTAGTTACTATCAGTTTCAGTTCTGTGATGAAATTTGTTTACCAATGTGTATGTATATATATATAAGCTGAAGAAAATGTATGTTTTTATTTAATTATTAGAATTTTGAAAAAAGAAATTTAGAAATTTTTTTAAACTTTTTTTTAATACTTGGTTGCAATTTATATTGTGATTTATTCTATTCTTTCAAAATACTATTATATAAAATTTGAATTAAATTAACAGTAATTTTAAATAACATATTTTTTTTATATAAAATTTTTTATACATGTACCTTATGTTTTTAAATCTACATACATACAAGTTAAATTTAATTTTCACAATATTCTCTTTTGGCAGTCACCTACAAATTTGAAAATTATACAGCAGATAGATTCTATAAATTCTGCTACCAGGACAATATGTAAAAAAATAACTTTTGTCAATGTTTGTTTGTAAAAATTTGTGTATAATGTATATTTTTTCCTTATTATTCACAGAAGACGTTTTAATTGAAGATAAAGGAGAATGTGTTATATGTCTAGATGATTTAACTCAGGGGGATACAATAGCCAGGTTACCTTGCTTGTGTATATATCATAAAACGTAAGGAAACATCTATTTGATTATTTCTTTTTGTTATGTAGTTTATATTAATCAGTGGTCAAGAAAATTTCTTTCTAATCAACTATATTTACTTTTTCACAAATGTAGTTTATAACAAATATTTTATTAAATTACAAACTACTTTAAAAATACAATAACTTAACTACTTTTAAGACACAAACTAATGCATTTATATCTACAGTGTTGCCACAGGCGACTAAAATGCAACTATTTGCAACTATTTTCATCATGAGGCGACTATGGCAACTTTTTTTGCCTGAAAAGAATTAAAAAGCAACTATTTTCAGGAAAAGGAGACTATTAGGAGATTTTTCTGTACTCCTAGAAATTTTTTTTGGCATAAATTGGGTTGAAAACCTGCAGTCTGTGAAATCTTCGGAACACACAGAATTTCTTTTCTTAAAAAATAAAAAATGTAAAATAAAAATAATAAAATTTAAAAAAATGAAAAAATGAAAAATTTTAGATTGCAAATTTGAGTCATCACTTCTTAATGCGTTCAATTTGCACAGATTCTATCGTAAGTCTATTTCGTTTCTCGATCGCCTTTTCAACGGTTATTATTACGAAATTCTGCATAGTTTTAAAAAACCCAATTTTTTATATGATATTACTAAGCATGAATTTCGAATTTGAGTAATCACTTTTCACAAAAACTCACCATACATAATATTTACGCGAATAGTTTATATAAAAATTTTCATATTTGCCACCAACTTGACTAAATGGATCATGGTATACGACAATTAAGTCATTTAATAAAATTTTAGTCTTATTTTTGCTGAATTTTTGTTCTTATTTAGGCAACTATTTTCATGCTTTAGGCTACTAAAAGCAACTATTTTGTTCATTTTTTTTTCTGTGACAACCCTGTATCTATTAAGAAAACTCAATACATATGTATCTATTGATTACTTTCTTTTTGTTTTGTATTTATATCAAACAGTGGTCAGAAACATTTCTTTGCAATTGACTTCATTTACTTTTTAACTAATGTAGTTAACTATAACAATTATTTTTTTAGATTGCAGACTACTTTCATAATATAATCACTTCTTACCTACCTTTAGGAGGCAAAATTTGCAATTTATTGACATGTTTAAAATTAAAAAAAAAGTTTATGATTGATAGAGAATTTGTAAAAAATTAGTTTAGAGTAATGAATTTACTTCTGGACTAGAAAATATAAATCCTCTTCACTACCTCAATCCACCTATGTGGACCTTCACATCTTACCTTCTAAAAACATGCTATTAGAAAATTTATAGTCTTACGCTCACTGAAACATTTGTAGTTATTTAACCTTTCTGGGGATTTTGTAGTAGGTGCAGAATATGAAAGTTATTTGGGTAGAAATCCACGTAAACAGAAGTGATTTTCGAAAAATGAAGCTAAATACACATGCTTGAAAATGTAACTAATTTTGAATATTATGTAATTTAGTTATTTTGAAAAAAATATTTTTCTTTTTACTTAGTAGTTCTGTGATCTGTATAAAGCATTTAAATTTATATTTAATTAATATTTTAAAATAATACAGTCAAGAACATGCAGGTCCGCGTATGAGTACCTTGGTACGTATGGCAAAATTTATGACAGCATAGTTGTCAAGTGAAATCTCATAGTATTATAAGTGTTCAATTATATCTATTTAGTAATATTTTCATGTGTATTTTAATTAATTGTTTTATATTAAGGTACATACTAAAAAGGTACATACATTTAATAACTTGAACTTTTTGTGTTTTTTTCCCTTAATTTTAAAAATTTTACCCCCAAGAATGAAAGAATATTTTTTATAGTTAATGTAAGATTATTTTCAATAATTATTTATTTTCCGTTTGGTCAATTAAACTAGTTTTGAAAATGAGATTTCATGAAGTAATGCATTGGTATTGCATTTACTATAGAATCTCATTGTAGAAAATCTTAGTATTTTTTAAATTTTTTTTCTTCTTAAATAATAATTAAATCAAAGGTATTTAAATCGACCTTAATATAACATTATAAGTGTTTGCTCCTACTTTAATTGCAATTTAACGTTTGCAATATTTATATTTTTTTTACTTAGATACTTTACTTTTAATTGTTAAACCCAACTAAAAAAATAAATATTTCAATTAGAAATAATCATTAAAAAAAGAAAAAACGATGAAGTAATACACTAATGATTATTTCTAAAATGATGGTAAGGTAAACATCTTTCAAAAAAGAAAAAAAATCCTAAAATCTTACGAGGAAACAAAAACATATTTTTAAAAAAATGACGGGAAAATTTATTGAATTTCATTCCGGTTTTTTGGTTTTCCGGTTTTCTGATTTCCGGATAACGGGTTCTGTACTACAAAGAAGTTGTGAAAAAAGAAAACACGTTGATGCGCTGACAATGATGATTTTCCGAACATTTATAAACTAAGTATCGTAAGATATTATCAAGTACACTACCCATTAATAAAGAAAGCAGTCGAGAATAAGATATGTATTCGTTCATTGTTTAAGTGGTGTAATCATTATTTTTAAAATTTGTAATTTTTTGCCCAATTGTAGCAAATATCTTCTACAGTAAAAGTGAAGAGTTTAAAGATTGTACCAACAATAAAAAAATAGATAACAGGGACTGAATATTTGTTTTCTTGCACATCATTTTGTAAAAATCTATATTTCAAAAGTCATTGACAAGAAACCAAATTCTGTGTTTTAAAATTCATTAACAAGATAATTAACTTTTAAAATTAGATGACCCATAGACTCATGGCTCAAAGACATAAAAAGATAGTGATTTGGATAATTTCTTTTATCTNACAGATATATAGTAATATTATTTATATCTTTTTGTAATTGACAGTATTATATTTTCTATAATTGATATTTTTGAAATTTATCATTGTTTTTATTTTGTTATTGTTTCTTTTAGTTGTATAGACGCCTGGTTCAAAGTGAATCGCTCCTGCCCTGAGCACCCCCTTGATTGATATGTTTGTGTGTGAACTTATAGATGCATCTGTGATCCATGGCTGTGTATATCATGTTTAGAACATCAAGTTTATGCTTTTTGTTTAACTGTTTGTGGCTAGGTGTTTGTTCCGAGAAATGAACTGCAACACTCACTGTTGACTGTTTTTTGTAGCCTTACAAGTGTGCTTATTTGTAAAATTTCACAACTTTTATCAAGCAGTAGTTGAGTGTAAATGAAGAGACGGAATGTGAACTTATGTGCAAATACAGTTGACAAATTTCTAGCCTCCTGGAACTCGTTTATTCAAATGTGCAAGGTGTCCTAAAACTGACTGATGATGAAAAAAAAAAATTTCATTTAATGAAAACCGGAAGGAGATAGAAATGTATGATTTACTACTTTTTGATTAGGAAATTCTCCCAAATTTTAAAAATTAGTTACAAAGTTTGTCAACAGGTGATGCTGCCTACTGAAAAAACTATGAAGCAATATTTTCAAAATTATCATTATTTGCAGCTACATAATAGCACAGTTTAAACACAAAATTAATGATAATCGTGCAAATAATTTAGTTTGAAGGGCCTGCAGTGAAAGAGAAGCATATTTTTTTGAAGTTTTTTCAGTTTAAGTGTGCCTTTTGATGAAAAAATCTATAGACAATTCCATCATTTATAAATGTCATTTTTGCAGGCTTTAATTAAAAGTATGTTAAAGTTAAAAAATTTAAAGAGTTTAGTAATTTATGTTAAATTATCGTTTGGTGTCATTTACACCTAGTTAAATTTTTGTAACTATTATAAGTTTAAAGGTTTATTTTAAAAAAAATTTAAAACTGGCTGTTAATTATGTAACATATTGTGGTAAGTCTGTATCAGCCAGTTTCCTATTTTTTTTAAAAAAATTTACGTTTCTAAATGTTAATATAAATGACACCAAGAATATATGAATAAATGACACCAATAATATATATAAATAAATGACACCAAGAATTGTTTTTGCAATAACTGCCAGTTTTTTTGTAAAAAAAATTTATATGCCATTAAAATATGGAAGTATGGCACTCTTAAATAATAGAACTGCTTCTGTGCGTCTAATTTTAAAACTTGGTGAAAATAAATCTTTTAAATTCTAATGCTACATATTGTGCGACGTCTGTAAAAGCCAGTTATTGATGTTGGAAAAGATTTTATTATTTTAAATGTTATTAAAACTTAAAGTGCAAAAGGCACCTAGAGTCATTTTAACAAAAATTTTTGGAACTGCTCAATTTTTATTTTTGATGTACGCACGCTTAAAATCTGCAAGTGTAACATTCATAAACGGTACAATTGCTTCTTTGTAGTTCTTTTGAAACTATTTTTTACTTTTGGAGAAAATAAATTCTCTGGTTTTCTATCCAAAAAGCTGCAAGCTGTCAATTTCTGTCTTCTTCCTATTTTCTTTTTAAATCGTCTGTATTTTTTAGGACACTCAAATAGGTGTAAACAAATTGTTATATATAGCATGACTCACTTGGCTTTGATATTTCTTGTATAAACAAAAACAAAAAAAAACTTTATAAAATAAATATGTGACATGTTTTTTTAAACAAAAGAAACTAAAAGCAACGACTTTAAACGCCCTGAATCGACAAATACTCTTTCATAATATGGCACTAAATTAGGGATATCTTAGCAAAACTAAATTGATATATTTATATTTAAAATTATAATTATTATTTTATGCATACATGAATTGATTATTTATTTTTCCACAAAGTATTTTTTTGTGCAGTGGCCAATTTTCCAATACTTTTATAACCTATGGTGTTATAAAACATTTTATCTTGACTTGTAGTTTTTCTGGAAGAAAAAAAATGATAAAAGGTACTAGCAACAACGCATAAAAATTTTAAGTTAATTCTGTTTCATAATATGGCACTAAATTAGCAATGGCTTAGAAAAAAATAGTCATATTTACATTTAAAATATATTATTTATTGTTGTGTAACAACATTTTCTGATACTTAAACAATAACAGGTGTTATGATATATTTGTAATTCATAAAATATAATTTTGTATCAAAATTTTTACCATAAATTTATGTATCAAAAGTTTTTTTTTTTTTGAATTTTATTTTTAAACATGATTTAGATTAAAAGTAACAGATAATAACGAACCATAACACCATATTATTGAATATTAACCATTTTCATGAGTGACTTTGCAAAAGTTTTTGCTTATGGTATTTTGCAAAAAGTTAAAGGATAAATCCTGTTATACTGGTCTGCTTGGCTTATTGCATCACTTGTAAACCAACTGTTAAATGTTATAACATGTTCTCCTTAAATTTTATCTTCTCTTAAGTAAAAAAATTAGTTTTGTATTACTTATAATTAGGGCCCTACAAATTGTGCTACGATACTGAAATCTGCATAACTGCCAGCATTATATCTTTATTTCTCATTTTCCTCAAAATGTCTTTGTCGGCCAAATAAAGTTGTTTTTATTTCCCCTTAACCCTATGCACTATCACTTTTTCCAATTCTGAGAAACATGAAAGGCTTAAATGTTTCATAAAAACATGCAAATTAGGAAAAAATTCTAATTTTTTTTTTTAAATTAAGTAATGTAAACAGGGCTCAAAATTAATGGTAGTTTGTTAATCCTCGAGTTGGTCCTTCACAAAATAATTTTGAGCAGTCCCCAAATCAGCAATCAATGTAAAAGATTTTTTTTCCTTCTTTTTTTTAAAAAATGGTTATGTTTTGGGCAGTGTTTTATCACAAATCAGTATAATTCAATATGATTGTGACATTATCCATTTTCTGTATTGTAATTTTTTATTTAAACTGACTACATTGCCTTTTTTTAATAAAAAAATCTGTTAGAGGCATTATAAACTCACCAGTGATAATGTGTATGGGCTATTAATATTTTTTAGAAATTGGTCAATCAAACTTAAAACTAAATTTTATTAAAACTTCTGTTTTTAACAACTTATTTTTGACTATCTCCAGTAACTAATTTAAATTCTTTCTCTCACATTTGAAAAAGTTTAATTGAAATTTTCCTTTTTTTTTTTTGCAATCTATCTGCATAAATTTGAAAAGTCGGCGTATATTTTTCACATGATTTTTAAAATACTACTACATAATTTATGGGGCCCTTCCTATAATTTTATTAATGTCTCAATTTTTTATTCAATTTTCATAACTCTAATATCTGAGCAGCTGATAATATTGCTCGAAAGGTTTGATGCTTTGTTTTTATCACTTTCTGTTATTCCATTTGAAACTAAAAATATAAATAAACAGAAAGTTTCTATGATTTTTTTTTTAAATTCAATTTTCATAATTATATTTTTTACAAAGCTAAATTACTAAATTGTAAAATTCGTGATTTGTTTTCTTTAAATTATTCCCTTTTTTAGAAAGTTTTAAAAAAATTCAGTGCTTTTTTTTATAATTTTGTTTTCTGGGTAGCTAATATTTATATTTTAGAGTTGTCCAATACTGAAATGACAGATTTATTTTCTAATTTAAACTTTCTGTTATTGTTTCAATATTAAAATAAATTGATAATATGTGCTTTACTTTATGACTTTTAAAATTATGTAGATATATGTGTGATTTATTTATCTTATATTTTCAAAAAAATGAAGTTGTTATTTATTGCTAATTAATGCCATATCTTTTATAACTAATTGAAAACATTGACTGAAAAGCGCCAAATATGTGACATTTGTCTTCTATCGGAGATAGTACTAATTATTTTTAGAGTGCCAGTGCAATTTATATAACTAAGTATAAAAAAAATATTAACTGTCTGTTATGCTGATTTGTATTTAAAAAATTCTTGGTCTTACCAGAAAAAAAAATTCAAGTATAACTTTAATTTTATAAAAGTATTTTTTTTTTAGTTACATATTTGTTTCCGTTTTATAAAATTTGATTGAGAAGTTTACATAATGTTAATCGTTTATAAAATTAATTGCATTTTTAAACAGTTATTATTTAGTTATTATCTTAGTTTCATTTATTACCTTGAATTGATTTTTATCAATATATTATTCTAATTAATTTCAGCATATCTATTTTTTTAAATCCTGGATTACTTATCCTGTTATAAATGGAAATGTAGGAATGCCACCAAGTGCTTCACATTTTCCGTAATTTTTATGAATTTTAGTTCCAGATGTACAATATGGAGATATTTTAAAAACTTATGTTTCCTAATTTACTCAGGAAATATTTTGAAAACTGTTTTTAATTCCCTGATTTGCTGAGAAAATGTTTTAGAAACTACTTATAATTAACTTATTTGTGTTTCTTATTTTTACATTTTTTTTTCAATTTTATTTTTAGGAACTTTTAACGTATTTTTTTGAAAATCAAATTTGTATTACTTTTAGCCGTTTAAGGAAAAATGTTTATCTTTTGTATATGAACAAACTTATTTTGCTAATACATAAATTTTAAGCAATATTTCTAAAATACTCTTGTAAAATCTAATTATTAATCTTTATACAAATAAATACAAAGTATTTACTCTTGTTTAAGTCAACAACTATTTTTCTGTCAGTCCAAGAATTTTTAAATCTTCTCTTTTGTGTTTTACAGGTTTAAATTTTTGGAAGTTTCATCAAACTTTTTTAATTATTCTCTTTTCAATTTTGAAACAAATCTTTATTACAAAATTAACCCTAAATTGAAACTTTTATGAAATAGGTTTTCAACTTTCTTCTGGGAACAAAATAAGAAATAAAAATTATTTTTCAGTTTTGTAACTATTTTATAAATTGTTCTAAATTCTCAATAAAATACAACAGAACAGTTTCAATATTGAACTTTTTTCTTTGTTTCTTTACTGTATGATGCAATGTGATTCATAAGTTTTTGAGATAAGAAAAGTAACTGTTGTATGCAATAATCAACTTAGTAAGTTGGTGTGCCATGGATTTTTCTTGTTTTCTCTTAGTGAGTCCCTTCTAGTGGCCCTGTTCTCTCTTAGTAATTCTTCTTTTTAACTTCTTGTCCCCTCTTAGTAAATTCTGGACTCCTTTTCCTCTCTTAGAGAGCTTTCTGACACGTAAATTGATTGATTTTCTTTAACTAGTGCTATTTCTGTGGACAAAAATTATTAAAGAAGTTGCATTAATTAAAATTATTATGGAACCAATCAGAAACCATCAACTCACTTAATAATTTGACAATTACTAAATTTAATATGACTAATACATACTAAATTTAATAATTAACTAGTTAAACTAATTTAATTGACAATGTAATATTAACTAAAATGTTGTAATTTTTGTCGATAACATACTTGCGTGTTTTTTCATTTAACCTTAAATTGCTTTTTGTTGTAATTCAACTTATTAAAAAAACAACTTCTTTAATATTAAAGAACCATTCCTGTTTCCTGTATTGTGACTAAAAATTCTAGGCTGAATACACAAATTATATATTAGCTGAATAACAGCAAAATCTTGCCAAGTAAATCCGTAAAATGTTTCGTTTTAAGGGATAAGGGAAATCTTAATAATTATAATTGGTCTATTCAGTAGCTCGGGGAAAAAAGTCGTTCTCACGAGTTAGTGAAGGGGAAAACGTTAAAATGTTAATTAATGCATAACTTGAAGCTGAAAATAGATTAAAAGACAGGATGTGAATATTAAAGTGGAGAATAGAGAGTTTTGTGTAGAATAATAAATTTAGATAGAGGAATAACATAAAAGGATTAGTTAAATCTTTTTATGTTATCTATCTATCTATCTATATATATATAT